AGATCACTCCTCATATATATATATATATATAAATAAATAAAAGAAAAAATATATAATGATATCATTTACATTAGATACAAGGTGATCGCAATTAATCTTGATCATTAGATGCGAAATTAAATGTCAGCATTTATTCTATTGACCATGCTCAAAGTTCAAAACAAATTTTTTTCGAACTTTATAATACACCCATGCTATCAGATTTCATATCTAATGGTCATAAATAATTGTGATCACTTTATACCAAAAATAAATAGTTTCATTTTATACAATCTCATATATAAACACATTAATATGTAGAATTTCAAATTTCTACAGTTTTGCTATGGCACTAACCCATAGTTTTAGAGAGAGAGAACGCTTACCATGACAGAGAGTGGGGCAACATACATCATAGTGCCAAAGAACATGCATAGGCTCCCAACAATGAGCGTGCGCTTTTCATGTGAATGAGCAAGAGAGAGAACCATGACTGCGACCACCCCCACAAAAGTGATCTCCAGAAGTAAGTAGAGGAACACTTTCAGCTGCAATTCAAATACAGACTTTGTGAGAGAGAGATTGATTCTGATTCCTAAGCACACAATAGGCATGAACAATGGGAAATGTAAAAAAGAAATAAAAAAAGTGGAAGCTTTCATTTAACCAAAATAAAAGAGAGAGATGGAAGCTTTCATTTAACCTAAAAAAGAAGCAAGAGAGAGAGACCAATGTTAGAAAACAGTACCCGGGAGTAGAACCTGGCCATGGGCTTGGTCCGGGTAATCGGCCTTAACCGAGTAGGTCCCGGCTTGGCTAAAAAGAGTTAAAGTTTTTTAAAAAAATCTCAAAAATCCTAATAAATATGAAAAGTATGTTTAAAGTATAGTTAAATAAAATACATATAAATAATATTTAAAAAAAAAAGTGAAAAAATAGATTTTGAAAAAATCAATTTATGCTCAGGGGTAGTTTAGAAATAGTTAAAAAAAATAAATTAAAAATAAATATTTATAACCAAAATACTTCCCAATTTTTTTCAAAATAATAAAAAATATTAAAAAAAACCTATTACGAACAAATTTCTTATTTTTTGGATTTTTATAATTTTTTTAAATTTCTTTTTCTAGGTTCTTTGCTTGACCACCCTAGCCGGACAGTGGCCGGTTCCGGGTAATGGTTTTGCCAACACTGTGAGAGACAGAGTTTTCTACCAGCATAAAAAATATATGGAATGGGAAAGAAAAAGGACAAAAATGGAAGATTTAATTTGCCCACCAAAACAAACCTAACATGCATCACCATGCCCACAAAAGTGATGTCCAAAAGTAGGTAGAGGAACACTTTCAGCAGCAAATCAACTACAGCCTTAGAGTGAGATAGAGAGAGCACATAAAAGACATGACAAATGGGAAATGCAAAAAAGCCGAAGCTTTCATTTAACCAAAATAGAAGCATCAGAGAGAGATGGAAGCTGTCATTTAACCAAAATAGAAGTATGAGAGAGAGAGTTTTTTTAAACCATAAAAAAATATGTATACCTCTTTCTGTAAAATTATTATCCCAAATAGCCTCATTATCCCAAATAACCTCATGGTCCTATAAAAAGCCCTCCAAATAACCTTTTTTTATTTTTTTTTAAATGTCTAAATTACATAATTTACCTTCTTTTTTTTCTCATAACTTCATAATAAAAATCAAGTTTGTAATAACTCTTTTAATTTACTTGTGGGGTTCACAAAATAAGAGAGAGATGCATTCGCGGACGGTTGCCAGAGAGGAAACGAGAGGTCTATGGGTGAGGAAGAAAGAGAAAGAGAATGAGACCTTTTTTTAGGATTTGGATAACACGGTGATTAAATAATAATAATAATAATAATTCTATAATTTGGACAATAGAAAAGATAAAGAAGGATTAAACATCTTTTTTTTGTTTAACTTGGGGTTTTATGGGATATTTATAAGGCCAAAGGATTATTTGGAAATATAATTTTAGAGTGGGTGTTTATGCTTTTTTTTTTTTTCTAAAAAAATTTATGAAATGGGAAAGAAAAAAAAGTCAAAGATAGAAGATTCTATTCGCCCACCAAAACAAATTATCATGCATCACCTGCATTTTTACTGGTCCAAAAAAAACTAGCATGCATCACCTCAAACAAGAGAAACCCAATTCAATCAAAAAATGACCAAAAAAAAAAAAAACTACAAATAATAAAAACAACCAATCTAGATAGATAACACCCAAGCAGCAAATCCTAAGAAAAAAGCGAGCACTATAACTTACCCTTTGTTTTTTTGCAGAATAGATCAAGAAGAGGAGCACATAAGTGAGTTCAATGAGTAGACCAGCTCCATTTATTGTGACCACCAAAGTGCTATGAGGGTGGACTATGGGAAGCCCATACAAAGTCCATAGCATGCAATTGAGAAGTGTTGCCAAATAAGGTATCGGTGAAAACCGCTCCACTGTTCCTTTCTTGCATATCTGTATGAATGTTGGCCTGTACATACACATACATACATCGATGTACATACATGCCATGCACATATTTTATTCTACATCTATGGCTTCTCTAGTGGCACTAACTTTAAGGTATAGAACGGAATGATGGATTTGTTGTCAAAAATATGATTAAAAATTCTGGAGGAAAATGCCTAGATAATATATTTTCTTATATTAAATGGTGTTTTAGAGTGGGCCTTTCATAAACAATTTAGAGCAATGGAAAATGTGGTTCTTGGGAAAATGACCAACATGAATCGTCCATTTGATGGCTGGGATTGTATTGTAAAAGTGGCTACATTGTTGGCTAAGTTGAAAGTAGTGATTTAAGAAACCTGACATACCCAAGTTCGCTCATAAACTGGTTTAGAATTGTTCGAGTCAGCTAAAAATTAGGAGACCATCAATTGTAGCTCAATTTTTAGTTGACTCGAACTGGGCGAATTGGGCGAATCAGAACACCGGGGCGTGCCTATATTTAATACCCCCGGTGTTATGTCTATATTTAAAAAAAAATTTGTTAAATATAGACAGAACGCCGGGGTATCTCTACGTCGAACTGGGCGAATCAGAATTGGACCACTGTCAAACCGGGCCGATTCGGATTTTCAAAAGGCTTCAGTGACAGGCTATGAGGATGTTATAAGGGTGACGAGGTGTTATTGGATATTTCCCTCAAACAGTTGCATTTTTTTGAATAAAATACAAAGCAAATTCCAAATGGTCTCTTGTATGCTTTTCCAATTTAAGACTCGAAAACTTACACTGGAGAAAGGAAAAGGCACAACGCTATTATGTTGCCTGCAACAAAGAAACATAAATAAATAACTGTTAGTATGGATATCTATCAATTACTTCACAAAATCACACAATAGAAATAAAAAACCAACATCCTAAACCCTCGTACAACTACTAAAAAATAATTCTTAAAAAAAAAAGAGCCCTTAAACTTTCAACCATTTTAAATTCCTACTAAATTTCATAGCCATTTCAATTTTAAAATTTCAATCTACAAGCCCAACTCAATGCGCCTCAAAATGCAAAACTACCCAAAGACCCCTAATTCCTCTAACCATCAATGGAAAAAAATACTGTTGCACCCCTTTTTATTTCAAAACTAGCAACTGTAAAAGAAATCAACCACTGCACAATTAAAAAACACCCCTTGTGTTTAAAAAATGAAACTTTCCTCCTTATACTCATCTTGATAAATAAGAACGTCAGTTTTGCCACTGATTTAGAGCTCAGAGACTCTCAAAAATGCATGGCGTGCTGAAAACATTGTAAAATGCTTCCCCATAAAACAAAAACACTGCCAAAACTTTGGCGAGTTTTTGATGATCTGCCTATGCAATGGTAAAAATACTTGGATGGATAGAATTTGACCTAGGATGCCCACCACTGTGCGGGCTGTATCTGCAGATACCATTGCCTCTAGACTGTGTTTTGAGAGAGAGATAGAGATGGGTTGAAGAGAAATGTGAGTCGAGGGATAGAGAGAGAGAAGGGTTGAAGAGATATGCGAGTCTTTCTAGTTTATATAGAGCGAGGAGTCTTTCTAGTTTATGTAGAGCGAGGGAAGGAGGTGAATCATTAAACTATTAAAGTGAAAGAAGGGGAAGATAAAAATAAAAAATAAATAAAATAACAGATATGCATAAATAAAATTGTAATTTCTTCTAAAAAGCTTTTATAGGCAAATTATATATCCCCCAAGATGTAACTTCTTGGACAACCTCTCCCCAACTACTCTTTACTTCATTCGATAAACTGTTTTGTGTAACTTTTACCCCCCCCCCCCCCCCAGCAAAAACTTAAGGTCAAATGAAGACCAAAATACCCTTTTTTTTAAACAATCTCTTTTGTTCTATGCAGTCCAACACTTTACGGCAACAGTCCAGTAAGTTTGACTTCTGGAATCCAAGTGGTCCGAGAATAGTATAGAGCAGTCCGACAATATTATAGCAACAGTCTGACAATAGTATAGAGTGGTCCAACATTTGACATGTCTCGATCCAGGATTTGATCTTTTAGATGCCCCTCTCCAATCCGGCATTTGATCTTTTGGATGCCCCTCTCTAGTCTGGCAAATAATAAAGCTGTTCGAAAGTTCTTAGTTTCGATCCAGCAGGGTTTCTTCTGAATGTACTTCTTAGGTCCGGCAATTTGGTAATATGGTCTGGCAATTTAGGTCCGGCATTCAATTCGACGATTGAAGTAGCGGTCCAGCATTCTTAGTGATGAGAATGTGACATCAAGATGTTGACTTGGGGGGTCTTTATTATAAAAGCTATTTTTGGGTAAAAATTGACTTTGGGGGTCTTTATTATAAGGGTGCAGTTGGCATACAGATGCATCCATAGCTGTAGAGGTAAGGTGCACCTTCAAAATCTATTTTTATATCTAATTATAAAAATATATATAATTTTGATGTAAAATGTATATAATTTTGATGTAAAATGTATATAATTTTGATGTAAAATGTTCTTAAGATTATCTCAAAATCTATTTTTATATCTAATTATAAAATTTTAAATTTAAAAAATAATTAAAATCAAGTAGATCTATAAACATATGATAATCTTGAAAATAGATGGTGTAGATACTATGTTGTAAAATGAGCTATTTTCTAAGACTTGATATCTTTTTATTTTTTATAGTCATACATTTTGATGTCGAAATCAAAGGGTTTTTTCAACATTAAAACTATATTTTTCAATGGATTTTTGAGGTGCATCCGTAGTGCTACATTATAAGATTGCATCCTTATATAAATTTTAAGCTAGTTTTGGGTAAAAATTGTGATTCAAATTAGTTTGTGCGGTGAAGGATGTATAAAAAGGTGAGTGAAGGGGACTTTTAATGAGTACCTGGATTTGTTTTCCAACTTGCAAGCATGCGTGGATTGATGTATTCTTTGGGGGTGGAGTTAATGTTTTAGTGGATGGGGTTATGGCACTATGTCCAAGACTCTCAAAACCCCCACCAATCTTAATTGCACATTCACGGTTGGCTTTGCATTTTTCTCATCTTTTGAGCCGGTTGGCGTGTCTAGCTGTCACCTCTTGGATAAAATCCAATCTCAATTTACTTTTCTTTCAATGTATTTCTTGTATAATAAAATGTCTTTTCATTTTTTTAGTTATATGTTAGATTTTCAATTTTTTTTACTTAAATCGATCTTTATTTCTTTAGATTTCTAAACAAAATATTTACTTTGTTTTCTGTTAATTTTTTTAAAAAAATACATGATTTAACTTCTAGTGTGTCAAAATATTGTTTTTTTTGTTTTACATGTTGGTTTCAAACTTTAGTGAATATGGTTTTTCATTTAATAGGATTGAATGCAAGGAAGCAAAAAGTAATAAAAAAAGCAGTGAAAGTTTATCCACTTCTTGTGAGATTCCCATACACTAGGCAGATGCATGCTTACAACTGCATTTAATGGTTGACTGCTATCCTCTTCAGATTTAAAATATAATTTAAATGATTAATGAGTGTTACATCGTTTCAAACATGCACGTAGCCACGTATCCATATATACTGTACACACATGTTGATACATACATACATAGATTCATACACATGAAGAATAGGTTGAGGCTTTATAATATCCGGTAAAGCCTCTATTCAAAATTCGGAGTTTCGATATCGAAAACCGTCAATTCTATTTTTGCCTCATATTATGAAAATTGAAGTTAAAAAAAGGTGTTGACTGATCCTTAAGCTCTTCAAATGGATGGTCTAGAAAATATTTTACGAGATAATTATTTTTAAGGTTCATATTCATTGTCAGATCCATGATTCTCGAAACCTAGATCATTCATTTATGAAATTTTCCAGCACTAGGATTATTTTTTTTTGAAAAATTAAGACAGAATTTTCTGTGAGTCAAATCAAGATACAAGGTGTATAAGAAATGAAAAAAAGAATTGATGGAAACCAAAAAATAAGAGGAAGTAATGAAAACAGGTCACCATCAATGAAAGGCAATTCACTATCCCCTTTGGTTAAAGCATCGGCCTCGTTATTGGCCTCCCGGTAGCAATCACGAATTTCAGTATTTAGTACCATCAAAATATCCCTAATCTCGTGAAAAATAGACTTTAACCTCCATAGAATATTGGCTCTCATTTACTCCCAGCTATAATATTTGTCGAGTCATCTTCAATAATCATATCTCCCTCCAACCTTGAGATCAATGTCAGTCCTTCCAATAAACCTTGAGCTTTGGCCTCATTCGCTATAGCAATACGACAAGGGCTTGAGTATGAATACATGATGTTGCCCCCACTATTTCTGATGAGTCCACCAAAAGCATTAGAACTATATTTTTCGGCAAGATTCGGGGTTCTTCCCATTAATGCACACAATCCTCCACATATCTAAACATGCATGTGAATACATGTTAATGCTTAGGATGATGGCCATATGTTGGCCTCCTTACATATTACAGATTTTTATTGGTATATGGTTGTATCAAGCTTATATTTACATACACGTATGGTTATAATGCTTGTTACGGCATTCCCAATTGTAGCAGTCTCCCTCTTTCACTCTCTCTCTTTCTCTCTATAGAATTGGAGAGATTTACATGTCATGGTCTTGATAAAGCCTTTACTAATCTCATCTAAGTGTGCAAATGCAATGTAAGCCCTTATGGCAATGGGTCTATGGAAGCCCTAGTTGGGCTCTCCCATCATTAGTTTAGAACAAAATTCATTTAAAGGAAAACATTGATGTAACAGTGTGGATAGAATAAGGCCTAGGCTTTATATTAAAAGTTAAAGCCATACCACAAAACTTCATTGTAAAATGTAGCTCTAGGTCTGAGAATTTCCTCTAATGATCTGAAATTTTAATTTCAGCCTGGCTTATGAAATTTGAAATTCAAAATATGGTGCTTATATGTAAATACTTGAAAATACATGGTCAAGATAATGTGTTACAAGACATTATCATTAGAGTTTGGATTTTTAAAAAAATATCTATTGTCGTTGATGTTAATTGTTCAATTTCAGGGCTTTTTAGAACAAAAGTTACATTTTTCTAGAGGTTTTTGAGGTGGGGCTTTACTTTTTGTTGAAAGTCTAGGTCTTGAATGATTTGAGGAATTAATAATCTCAATTCAAAAAAGAGTAGTGGGTCTAAGAAGGGTGATGACCTTAAACTTTCCCTTAACTCATTCTATGTTCTGGTATAGGGATTGGATTGTGTTAAGTAGGTAGCCAACATAAAATTTTGCCAAAACTTATCATGAATCTTGAATGGCAGACCAGGATTCGTATACCGGACTCCAATTAATTGGAAAAAACGTGATGATGATGATGACTCAAAAAAGAGTTGTGGTATTACTAAATCATCTATATTTTGGCTGTATTTGATTCACCTCCTACATTTTTTAGCTTTTTATTCCTATTTAACCCCAAATTTGAAAGTCTAACATTCGAATTGCCTGGAACACAAAAAAGTTGAAGTAATGGACGAATTGAAAATCTGAAATTCGAATTGTCCAAAACGCAAAAAATTAACGTACCAGACGAATTGAAAGTCTTAACATTCATACAACCCTATTTACACAAGGAATATAGACAAAAGGGAAATTGTTTCATGCGGCGGGGACGACATTTCTACATTTGTTGTCCCTGAGGTATAAAGAATCCATTAGGTAATCCATCTAAAAACGATCAAAACTAATAG